AGTGTTGCTATGGGAACACTGTTACTAACGTAAACTAGTACTAGTTGGATACAAGTTACTATACCATCGAATTAGTGTGCTTCTTGTTTATTTTAACATTTCATCATTGCTGATTCAGTTCTCATGCATTTTTTCCTGGGTGACTGCTGAACAGCAGGCAGGACAAGGAGCCAGGAAAAGAGCAGTGACTAAGGCGCGGTCTCTGAGGGAGAAAAGTATCGGTCAGCACTGGGCTCTAGAGACAGAACGGCCTGAGACGGCCACGGGGGAGGGGACAGCAGAGCACTCGCCCTAAACGAAGGGAGACCCAAGCCACGCTGGAAATGGCGGAAGAGCAGACTCAGCGATCACACCGAGTTCAAGGTCAGCGATCGCACGGAGCACGCGCTTAACTTCTTCAAGGAGCAGTGGGAGCGCTGGTGTGGCCAGCGGAGCGAGCGAGACGTTCTAGAAGATGAAGGCAGAGAGGTAGGTGAGATGGAGGGCCGCACTAGTCAACGAGCAAGGGGGCTGGCCATGGAACAGAGCCCGGCCTGAGGACCTGTGAAGAGAGGACGCGGGAATTTGCAAGGCCAGCGTCCCTAGCGCGGAGCCAGCGTGGAGCCAGCATGGAGGAAGCGGCAGGAGACGAGGACTGCGAGGGCGTCAGAAACTCTGGAGCTGGCTCTGGGTGGATGAGGAGCTACTAGAGGTTTCTAAGCAGGAACGATTTACACATTTCATTGGATGTTTACATTTTAAAAGATCCACCAGCAAATCCCAAGAGCTCTACCCTAAAAGTGTATCCCTGTACGACTGCTCCTCATGCCCCCACTGCCACTCGCCTAGTCCGCCACATCTGTGATTTCTGCCTGGGTTACTGCCGTCACGTTCATGTTTCCCGTGTCTATCCAACTAAAGCGGAATTTCACGCAGGTCTGGAGAGAGCAGAGAGAGAGGAAAAGAGACCCCTGGAGCCGGCCGAACTTAGAAGCTAAGCAGAAGAGGCCTGATGGTCAGCAGAGGCGGGGAGGACCGTTCCCGCTGGGGGCCTGGTCTCCGGGAGGCTGAGTGAGGGAGTGTGTGGACGGGAGGGAGGGACCGACGGGGGCAGCTGCCGCGGGCTCTGGACTGCAGGACGAAGACGAGCCCGCCGGGGGTTCGGAGTAAAGCATTAAAGCCGGACCCTCAGAAAGCTGGGCGCTGTGCTTTGAACCATGAAATATTTGAGAATGTGTTTTTAAACGGATTCATATACTGTTATGTGCAAAATTTTACATTTCCACCATTAGAAAGAATAAACACGCAATTTAAAACCTATTTACTTACTATTGTCTTCCTTCTGTTTTAATTATTAGGAGGTGAGTTTTACTCTTTTATAAACATTTTTGCTTTATACATTTTGAAAAATATCTTTAGGAATTTACAAGTTTAAGAGTTATATCTATTTCTGTACATATTACTTTTTTTTTATTTTTTAGGCGAGGCAACCCTTGGTTGACCTCACAGATTGCAAGGACCCTGTCAGCTTACAATCCCTTATTTTTTGTTTTTCACGCCTACAGCACCTGGTCCTCCTAGGTGGTCTCCCATCCAAGTACTAGCCAGGCCCGACCGTGCTTAGCTTCCGAGATCAGACGGAATCGGGCACGTTCAAGGTGGCATGGCCGTAGACTGTACATATTAAATTCTTGATGAGCCTTTTATTATAGTACGTAGTTGGCCTCTACATCCCTAATAATGCTTGCCGGTCTTAGAACTTTTTGCACAGGATATTAATAGAACAATTCCAATCCACCCCCGCCCCACTAGTTAGTGGGTAGTGAAATCCTTTCGTCTGTCTACCTATTCATGTATCTACCTACCTACCCATCTATCTAAATGAAGTAGAACAGAATGACACTAAAGAGAAAACGTTAGGTTTTTGTGTAAAGAGTAAGACTAAGAATAGTTTTGTAGAATATTTATGTAGATCCATCACATATAAATAGTTCTAAGATATATGCATGTACATGTGTACTGATCTTTAGGTAAAACCTTCTTCCTCCTGCAAATCAAAGAAAAACGTGTGGCCATCTCTGTTTTGGATAGCTCTTACAAACACAGCTGGCTGGAACGTACTTTTTAATCACACACCAATAATCTGTCCGCTTCCGGTCAGTCCACCCGCATTTACTTCTAAAATCTTACTTGTGACTCCCACGTGCCCGTCTCCTCGTGCCTTTTCTCCACTTCTTGCTTCTGTCGTTGGCTGCATTTCGCTCACATCTACTTAGGCATCTGTTGAAGTTATAAACTCTAACACTAACGTTTTAGCTGTTACCCTAAGATATCATTTTAAAACTTCACTGACAGAGCTTTAATTCTCACCACCTTTTCTGACATGCGTCTAGTTCTATTTTTTAAATATTAAAACAATCCGTTCTTTACATTATTTTTGTTGTTAGAGCCAATGCTTACTTGGAGCCACCCCATTTTCTGCTGGCGTCCCTTCCTGCATCCGAGACCCTCCGCCGGAAACCACTCTCCTTTCCCCTGAAAATGCTCGCAGGGGGTTCCTGCGGTGGCAAACTCTCCAAGGAAAATATCTGTCACCCAGTTCTTTAACGGTAGTTTAACCAGGCAAACAAATACAGGGGGCCAGCGACTCTTTCTCACCACTTCGAATGTATTAGTCCACTATTTTCTTGGCATGACTGCTGAGCAGAAGTCCGAGTTTCTCTCTGCTTGCTTTTAACATCACCCTTTTTCTTTTAGACAGCACTGCCGTCTGGTAATCTGCCGAAGTGTGGATTTAGTTTCATTAACCCTGTTTGGGATTTTATGTTAATCCTCTACTTGAGGACTCCTATCATTCATGGATTCTAGAAAATTCTCAGCCATCTTCTCTGATTACTTCCTCTTCCTCGTTCCTTTTATTCTCTTCGTCTAGGGTTCTATCAGAAGCAGGCTGACCTTCCACTCTTCGCGCTGCATGAACTTGCTTCCGTATTTGCTATCTGGTCATCTCTCCACGCTTTGCTTTGGATCCACAACCCTGTTTACTAAGTTTTCAGCTCTACCTGATCTGCTGTTTTATCTATCCAACAATTTCTAGAACTTCTGTTTGGTTTTTTAAAAATCTGCTTGGTTATTTTTAATAGTTTTCTCTTCATCAGTGACACTTTAAATTCCCTCTCTTTTTAAATATATGGAACAATCAGCATTAACCCTCACACTCTGAAAACACCGCGACAGTATCAACCGCATCTCTGATTTCGCTGCATTTCCTCTCACTACCTCTCTCTACCTTCCCTCCACGCCGCCTTCACTAACCTTAGGAGCCTAGCTACACTCCCGGCGTGTCTAAGATCATATTATTCCTATCGAGACAGGCACACTGATTTTTAAAACCTGTATGTATTATGCATTCAGACAGCTAAATTTAAGTCAAAGCTGTGTCACAAACTATTTATGTAAATGCAACTTAAATCAATTTTGTTGGGCCTGTTTTCATTTGTAAAATAGGGTTTAAGGTTTTGGAAGCATGAAATGAAATACACATTTTACAAATTATGAATATACAATTACAAATAGCATATAGCTGGCACAGCACCTGGTTCTTAGCAGCCACTCAGGGGTGACAATATATCAGCACCATCACCCTCATTGTCATCGGTATGAGCAGCAGCAGCAGCATCTTCACGACCTTTCATCTGAGCAGGGTCGGCCTATGTGAACCTCTATCTAACCCAGCCCAAACTTTTCTTATTTTGAAGATTCACGCTCCATTTCATAAAGTACTGCCTACTCTACTTGAAATAAGGTAAAATAAATTGCCTTGAAAGAACAAAAACAAAGCTCCTATACTCAAGAGAGTTACACTCAACGAACATTTTACGGAGCATAAAAAAACATTATAATGAATGTTTTTAATACATCCAATTATAATGCCTCTACATGTCTACATAAATTAAGAGGACAACAGAACTGTGTTACATAAAAAGACCTGCAGGTATGTTAAACTAATTATTAAATATTCTTAGTTCTTAAACACTTGTTTGATTAACTGACTAAATAGCTGGAGGTCGAGTTTTCACTAGCCCTTGATGGAAACCAACCACACCACATTGTCATGGACTATCTCGTCTGCTCAGCTGTAGCTCCTTGATAAGTCTGAAGACGCGAGTATATTTCTTAGATAAAGTCTATCACTAGCGTAAGATTTTATTCAACTAGAGATTTACGAGTCCAAAAATGTTGGCTTTTCTTTGCAAATGTCTAATTAACGCAGATGCTTGGCTTGAAGCTGCTACATGTGAACGCCCTCTTCCATCTACAATCCCCCCATTCCTGCGGCATTATCGATAAACACATGAGCCCCCTTCTTACGAGTTACACTTCAATCCAATGTCCGTGTTTTAAATGTAGGCTTCCCTACCAGCCTGTCGGTTTATGCAGTAATGAAAGATACCATTAGGAGAGAACCACGGACAGGGCGATTGTCGGGAACGCTCTCCACTCACCTGGGATCATCTCGGTTTCATTACGGTCAGCAGGAGTGACTAGGAGATCACTTCCTGACTTAACGCCCTATGTGAACAGCAAACACACCCTGGGCGCAATAAAGCAAGCTATGCGGTCCATTAATATGATAATTAGGTGTGGTCTCCTCAGGGCGCGTCAAGTCCTGCCATACACCAGGATGCCAATGGAACAGAAAGGCAAGGAATCAGGGCCGGAGTCCTTAGCGTAGAGGCTGAAGCCAAGAGGCACTGACGAGGGGAGGGGAGTGTGTCCAGCAGAAGCCCAGCGCAGCAGAATGAGTCAGACGCTCAGGCAGTCAAGTCAGTGGGGCCCAAAGACAGATTAAACACGAGTGCAGAAGGGATCGCTGGTTAACAGACATCAGCCGACTTTACACAGGAGTTGCAATGACAGTCAGTGTGAAAATTAAGCAAAGACATTCACCCTCTTGTGCGCGATTTACTATACAGAACAAAGCAAGCGTGAGTGACACCAAAGTAGGTTTGTAAGCTTACTTCCACTCCTCTGGTGGGTGTGCAAGTTCATACTTCTCCCTCACGTTGGAGACACCCATATCCAAATGGAGCCAGTGAACCTCCTCGGACCGCAGGTGACTGAGGCGAAATCCATAGCAGGCCACGTGCTTTACTTTGTGACTGTCCACTATCTTCTGAATGATGCCCTAAAACATACCCCCCACAGAAATGACTGTTATAAACAAAAAACCGGATGCTAAAAATTAATGCAATGTTCATTTCTTTTTGTTACTTATCAGAAATCTTTGGTAAAAGAGTGTCAAGTTGAATAAATCACTTAATTTGACTCAGGAATCATTTTTCTCATATAGTATTTTCACGAACAAGAAAAAGTTCAGACGCAAAAGGAGGCTCTCGCCCTTCCCTTTTATTTCCTGATGAACAAGGCACGGACACTAACAACACATTTCTGCAGCTCCCCCTTTGCCAAAACCTGGCAAAGCACCACCCTTCGGGTGTCACTTGCTGAGGACCAGGCCCCAGGAGGGTTACACTTTCTGAACCAAGGAGAGCTCACTGTTCGAGACCAGGCTGCAATTAATACTGTTTCTTTAAAAACACTCCTTCAGAAACACACGAGGGAGTTTTTCTGATAACAGCGATGATACATGACGTCATCTGAAGTTGGCCCGAACCAACCTACTGGCTCTCTCTAGATTAATGAGCTGCAATTTAAAAAAGCCCCTGAATCTGATGCTTCTCACACACGTGGCCCGTGAGTTCAGCACGGTGAAGGTAAACCGTGAAGGTCTTCAGGGAAGGCTCCCTAGAGAAAGTGAAGCTTTTCCCGGAGCTGTGCACAGGGAAGCCGCAGACGTGACCCTTGGCCTGCACCTGCGCAGGTGTGGAAGTCACGGGCAGATGCTGGTGAGCAGGCACATACGTGGACCTCACCTGGGAACGTGATGGACACCACCCGCTGCCCTTATGTGAGGCCGTGCTTATCACAGTCCCTGCAATCTCCTCGGTCTGTTAGGCCATAAAGTTTTTTAAATGATGTTGATATTAATATGAAAACATCTGCTAAGGAAAATCATCACTGGTTTTTAAAAATTAGCAATTAACTGAAGCTATCATCTAACTTAAATGTCACACACATCTTAGAAGTTCCTGCACACAGTAGCTGCTACAGTGTGATGCCACTGATCACGGCAGTCCCCGGTCCTCACCACAGGAAATATAAACAATGACACACACTACACAGGGAAACTGACGAGGACCCAGTAAGGGCAAGTCCTGTGCTGCGTTCCCGGTGCCTGCATGGGCCTGCCTCCCTTTGAGATGCTCGGTTTCGGGCACAAGGTTTGTACCAAGCACAGGGAAGCGGTGGGGGGAGGGGCGGAGGAAGAAGGTAAACATGGTAGCAGAGAGAAGGCAGGAACAAAGGACCAGGCTGGGAAGAGTCGAAGACGGCGTATACAGAAGAATTCCCGCGGGGACCGGAAGGATGGGTGGATCTGAGATAGGCAGAAAATGTCCTTTTAGGCTTTAGGATTCAAGGCCAGGAATTTCTAACAAGGCCACCGTGAATGACAGCGCAGGCTGTGCCCTGCCCGAGGGCGCCCAGCCAAGGCAGCCAGTAGGAGCCGAACTCCAGCCCGGGCTCCGGCCCTGAAGTCTGGTGCCGTGGGGCAGGGACCTGCCTAGAGGAAGGGCCTCCTTCTTCTGGTAACTCGCTCACAGGCGACTTCTGCATCTCCTCCGGGCCAGCACACGGTCCCTGAGCTGCGGAGGATGGGCACTGGCGCCGCTTTCAAATGCCCACAAAGGTGCCTTTGTCCTCCTGCCTCAGCTCTGCCCGCTCGCTACCCAGGGCACGCCAACGCCAGCCACCCTGACGGAAACACAGGTCCCCTCTGCGCTGCGCACGGCTCGCTGCTACGGCTGCCCCCACCGCGCTGCCTGTCCCACCGCCTGTCCCAGTGCCCTTGTCCGACCTTCTAAGGGCAGGGCAGGAACCATCTCTCAACACCCCAGGAGAAACCCCACCTTCTCTGGGCACCCGCTCCGATGACCCTTCACGCAAAGATGACCTTCACATCCTCAGAACCCACGGGGCACACACAGGGGCCCATCTGCAGAGAGGCAGAATCGACTCGAGAAGCCCAGTCCAGAACTCTGGAGCTCATTAGCGGAAAAGCGGGTCCCAGCTTCGGAGTTCCATGGGACAGACAGAATTTTAGTGAGTTCACTTGACCGTGCTGCCCAAGGCCGCCCAGAAGGACTCCGAGTTCGGGCTGCCGTAACGAGACTCCCACAGTGCACGCCCGTGTGACGAAACGAGGCTGCAGCTTTTACTCTCCACGACAAAATTAAAAGCAATAATAGAGACGTTTCTTTTTATTTCATGTTTCGCTTTCTCATTCCGCCTCCATGTTGTGTTCTGTCCTGTTTCCCATTCTCCAACACTATGACAAACCTCATCTCTGACTCAGCGTGGACAGCAGCCAAATTTATGACCATGTTGGTAATTAAATAATGATGCCAAATGCATAAACTCAGTGACTTAAATAATTTTGAGTACCAAATATTTGGTTCTGGATAACTGAACAAATAACTTCGGAAAAGTGGCTGTCTCTGGGGAGCTCAAAGAACTGGGTTACAATATGCCGCTAAAAGTAGCTGAATTAAATTTAAATTTCTCCTCCTGGCTTTGAAGGCTCATGACAACCTAGTATACAAATCAATACTCGGCTACGCTGAAATCTCCGTTTACCCATTTATATTATATCCCAAACTTTGAGAATATACAACTTTCCTGATTAAATTCTCATATTGGACATTCATGGTAAAATAACTCTCCTTAAGGAAGATGATAAAAGAAGCCAATGCTTACATCTTATCAACAACATAACATTGAGTGCACACAGCCATCTTACTACTGGTGGATAATTATTTTCTTTTTTACTTGTCTTGGGGGACAAAGGGCGGTGAAAATGCAAATACTACTATGAATACCCTTCCAGCTGCTGCCGTACACACGGAGAAACGCTGCTTAGAAACAGACGCGCTAGGTCAAAAGCTACGTAAACTGTAACATTTTAATGAAGACAGCCAAAATGTACACCAAAACCACACCAATTACACTTGATACATAATATCAATACTGGTTGAAATCGATCTCAAAACGGTTATCACCTTGATGGACCATCACAGGGAGTCGGGGACACTTCTCTGTTGTTATAATTTACACTTCCCTGAATACTTGCTAATGAGATGAAGCTGTAATTTTGCTTGTTTCTAACAGTTCCTTTTATGATTTGGCTGGGCACTTATCTTTTAGACAGTGCTTGGGAAGCAATGACCTTTTCCCACCGGTAGAAAGAAGCCACGCAACCTCCTCCTTCGTGCGCGTTCACTCGTGAGTGCTCGTGCGCTCATCCGTTGAGCGAACACATAAAGGGCCCGGCGCGCGCACGGTGCGGGCGGACCAGGGATGGCTACGACATGATCCTCACCCTCCGCTCTCTCCCTCGTAGGAGAAAGACGTGATGATGACTGCATGCGAAGGGGTAACTGGTCTGTGGCAGGGTGAGGCAGGGACAGGACAGCTATCTCCTCACAGGTAACCTGCAACAATTCTGTATTTATTACTAGAGGAGACATGAACACTGTTCGTCTCTTCCTCTTAAGAATGACCACATATTGTCACCACTTCTGATTTGTCTTTTATAATGTCCAGTGGTTGTCCTTCTGTGTGTTTCTTCTGGTCACGTCCAGGAAGCTGAGCAGTCTTAACTGTTCTTCTCCGGCCGCACGTGGGCTGGTGGGCACCTGTCATTGCTCAGGTGCCACAGCAAGACCCGGAAATCCAGCGGCCGATTCGTGTCCTGCTACTGGCTGAGCGGCTAACGGGGGGCAAGCCCAGTCCAGAACTCTGGAGCTCATTAGCGGAAAAGCGGGTCCCAGCTTCGGAGTTCCATGGGACAGACAGAATTTTAGTGAGTTCACTTGACCGTGCTGCCCAAGGCCGCCCAGAAGGACTCCGAGTTCGGGCTGCCGTAACGAGACTCCCACAGTGCACGCCCGTGTGACGAAACGAGGCTGCAGCTTTTACTCTCCACGACAAAATTAAAAGCAATAATAGAGACGTTTCTTTTTATTTCATGTTTCGCTTTCTCATTCCGCCTCCATGTTGTGTTCTGTCCTGTTTCCCATTCTCCAACACTATGACAAACCTCATCTCTGACTCAGCGTGGACAGCAGCCAAATTTATGACCATGTTGGTAATTAAATAATGATGCCAAATGCATAAACTCAGTGACTTAAATAATTTTGAGTACCAAATATTTGGTTCTGGATAACTGAACAAATAACTTCGGAAAAGTGGCTGTCTCTGGGGAGCTCAAAGAACTGGGTTACAATATGCCGCTAAAAGTAGCTGAATTAAATTTAAATTTCTCCTCCTGGCTTTGAAGGCTCATGACAACCTAGTATACAAATCAATACTCGGCTACGCTGAAATCTCCGTTTACCCATTTATATTATATCCCAAACTTTGAGAATATACAACTTTCCTGATTAAATTCTCATATTGGACATTCATGGTAAAATAACTCTCCTTAAGGAAGATGATAAAAGAAGCCAATGCTTACATCTTATCAACAACATAACATTGAGTGCACACAGCCATCTTACTACTGGTGGACAATTATTTTCTTTTTTACTTGTCTTGGGGGACAAAGGGTGGTGAAAATGCAAATACTACTATGAATACCCTTCCAGCTGCTGCCGTACACACGGAGAAACGCTGCTTAGAAACAGACGCGCTAGGTCAAAAGCTACGTAAACTGTAACATTTTAATGAAGACAGCCAAAATGTACACCAAAACCACACCAATTACACTTGATACATAATATCAATACTGGTTGAAATCGATCTCAAAACGGTTATCACCTTGATGGACCATCACAGGGAGTCGGGGACACTTCTCTGTTGTTATAATTTACACTTCCCTGAATACTTGCTAATGAGATGAAGCTGTAATTTTGCTCTTGTTTCTAAGTTCCTTTTATGATTTGGCTGGGCACTTATCTTTTAGACAGTGCTTGGGAAGCAATGACCTTTTCCCACCGGTAGAAAGAAGCCACGCAACCTCCTCCTTCGTGCGCGTTCACTCGTGAGTGCTCGTGCGCTCATCCGTTG